TGTCACTTTTTCTCTTGACAAGAAGTGCATTTATTCAGTCGCAGAACGACTGAGAACGGGAGACATTTCAGACGCGCGCTCCTCTTCACTTTGGTGCCAGGCGCGAGTCAAGCGAGCACGGAAACGATACTGTGCTCGAAGCGTGTGCTCTTCAATTACACGCACAAAGGCGCCGGCGTGCGCTGTAGCCTGTATCCTTTCACATTAAAGCGCGAAATAAACCGTGCATGCAATGTCGTGGTCAGTTAAGTCATGAAGTTACCAAAAAGGCGATTAAAGCTGCCTTAAAACTGTGCATGCATGTAATATATTTTATATGAGTCACATTTAAGAACATGTCTCTGAAATGGTTTTCAAAACTGTCCTGGAGCAGCCCAGCACTGTCTCACTCATCTAACACACCCGATTTAACTCGTCAGCTGGCGTTTATTTTAGCACTTCAGTCAGTGAATCCGCAGCCTGCAAAACACTAAAATAAATATAAAAGAAATAATACAGTTAAACAAGAAAGTAGCCTAAATAAGAAAGTTAAATACACCCCTTCTACAGGACGCGGCGCAACAAAATACTATGAAACTCATTATAATCAGTGATGCTAAACTGGATGCGGCACGACACGACAAATCCCCGACAGTAAACTGCCTCGTTCTATTTATGAGGTACTGACACAGAGTTCAAATGTCCTGTGTAGACACTAGACAGACTCAACCCGTTGCGACGCGGTGGTGTAGCGTCCGGTGTAGAGACAGTTCACTGTTCCGCTACTGTTATTACACTTGTATACAAAACTTCGTATTATGCTTGTTATAGAGTGCGTGACGTCACGTGCACTACCGCCGGTGGCAGTAGACAACCGCAGTTGTCACGGCGACCGTCACAGCCCTAATAAATACCTTGTTAAAAGGGATCAAATACGGTTTAAAAATGTGTATATTTGTATTGATAAATATTCATAAATGTATAAATACATAGAAATACAAACATGGATTAAAAAAAAGGAAAATATAAGTGAGAAAATGTTCATATAAAAATATAAATAAACACCTTGTTAAAAATACCTTTCAACAATGTCTAATGAGTGCGTGACGTCACGTGCACTACCGCCGGTGGCAGTAGACAACCGCAGTTGTCACGGCGACCGTCACAGCCCTAATAAATGCCTTGTTAAAAGGGATCAAATACGGTTTAAAAATGTATATTTGTATTGATAAATATTCATAAATGTATAAATACATAGAAATACAAACATGGATTAAAAAAAAGGAAAATATAAGTGAGAAAATGTTCATATAAAAATATAAATAAACACCTTGTTAAAAATACCTTTCAACAATGTCTAATTATACATTTTCAGAAATATAAATGTATAAATATAAATAAAATATAACTGATGAATAAAATGAAGTGAATATAAATGGTAAACTATAAATTTCTAATTCTACTGTCATCATTTGTAAGTCGCTTTGGATAAAAGTGTCTTCTAAATGAATAAATATATATATATATATATATATATATATTCATGAAATATTTCACCTTTTAACTATGTATCTTTTACAGCTTTCAACAATATTTATTTTCATGAATAAATATTTGTAAATTATGTTTATAAATTATATGCGTACATATACACTTATATACACACACACATATACATAAATACAGGGCCTAAAATTAACAGTTGCCAAGCGCCAAATGCGAGTAAAAATCAGCGTTGGCGAGTATGTGTAACAGTGTCAGTCGCCAGTTGGAGGTTAAAACTTTTACGAAATATAACATAGCAATGTAGTGTGAACAACAGCCCATTTTTAAAGAGATTCACTGTTTCTGAGGTAAGCGAATAAAACAATCTTTTCCGAAGACAAGATCATCGTGATTGATTAGCTGTTCTGTCATAAGCGGCAAGAGCGAATCAAATAATAGGATACAAACGGACTGATAAGGTCAGAGCAGAGTGATGGCCAGCTTGTCCCTAGACACTGTTCTAATAACTTTTACCTGAGAAGATTTTGCTGCTTCATTTCGAAAGATTAACTTTTCCCTTCTTTATTCTTCATAACCCGAGAATGTGGCGACACATACCTGGGGTTACGCCACTGGATAGCTGGTCAATCACAGCACACCTTGCTTTTCAGACCGATGAGCTTTGTAAAAATCGACGCGTTTCAAAAAGGCGGGGCATAGAGGAGAAACAATAATGTACAGTATGTGGAAAATAATGTGTTTTTTTAACTTTAAACCGCATAAACACATTTCATTACACCAAATACACAAAATAATGTTCTTTTTAGCAGCATCATATGACCCCTTTAAAGTAAAACCTGCTGAAGTCCGTCATTGATGTAAATCAAAGAACAAAAGAAAAAGATAAATCACTCACTGCTCTGCTCGCTGATTACCTTTAGTAGCTTGAATAAAGATTAATCTGTATAATTTATGCATATACAACTTATAGTTTATGTGAAGATTGTTTTAAAATCACTTAATATTTCAGAGCCTATTAAATGTTAAAAATAATGGCTTTCAATTATACTGTAATGCTGAATGGATATAATAGGTAAAATTGAGGGAAAATGTATGTAATAGAGACACCTATTGGTATCAATACTTCATTAATAATATACTACTTAGTAAAAAGATGCCATTTAAACATATTTAAAATATACTATCTTTATGTTGTTTCTACATTAATTTGGAGGTTCAATGTGAAATTGTGACTATATGCGATTAATCATGATTAATTACAGAAAAATGTGTGATTCCTTATTTTTTTTAATCGATTGACAAGACAGCACTAATGTTTCCGATTTCAATTTAATTTCTAATTTAATAGGTCCCCCCCAGAAAGAGATCGGGACGGCCCCCACCCCCTTGGCCCCCTTCAAATGTTCAGTTTGATAATTCTGCCCTCAAATGAAGCTAATTATATAGCCCTGCTCTAATCTGTTAACATGGATGCGGAAAAAAATACGCACTGCAAACTGAGTATGTGTGAAACGGGTGTAACACGATGGCCTGCTCTGTTTGCCAAACAAGAATCTCAACGTTTTTTAGGGACAAAAAAAATATATAAATCAATAAATCTGTTTGTTGTTTTTTTCTTGTACCTGGATCGATTGTGGTCTTCACTGCGGTCACGGCTTCTGTCTCTCTCCCTATCGCGCTCTTTCGTGCGCTCGCGGTCTCGATCTCTTTCTCTCTCCCTCTCGCGCTCCCGCTCTCTCTCGCGCTCCCTCTCTCGGTCCTTCTCCCGCTCGCGGTCCCGTCGTTCACGTTCCCTCTCGCGCTCCTTGTCTCTCTCCTTGCGATCCCGCTCCAGCTCCTGCCTCTCCTTCTCTCTCTTCCCCTTTTCCTCTTCCAATTTCTGTGGGAAAACGGGGAGGGAAGTTTTCGGATTAGCGACTGCTCAAACACAATACAGAAGTACATGACACAATATCACTCTATGAGGAAGTGGTTTACAGTCCCTGCCATTCACATATGCACTCATATACAGGCACTAAAATCTGAGACCACTAGAGTATTTTAATGCAATAAATGTTGAATTATAAATTACATTATCAGCATAACGGGTCAAAATTTTAATTAAGAATTTAACATGAATTTGAGAACGTCTCAGTATGTGATATTTTAATGACAGTATCAGTGGAGCTACATGAACAAAACCTGACAATCATGTTCTCCAGAATGATCTGAGATCAAGCAAGAGTATCTTTAGCTTCAATGGAGGTAAAAGCATCTACAAAGAGTCACATGATCAAATACCTATTTGATTAGTGACACAGAAATAAAGCACAACATTAAAAGTGAAGCTAGTGAAACAGAAATTACACTTTTCACTTTTAAAATGTTCTTCATGCATATGTAAGCTTGTTTCTGCCACTAAATAAATACATAAAGGTAATTGCGGCTTTCTTACAATTCTGACTTTGTTTGCAATCCTAAGGAAAAAAATTCGAATTACGAGATATAAACTCACTATTGAGGAAAAAGTCTGAATTGTGACAAAGTCGCAATTATCTTCCTTGTGAAAAACAAAACAACAGAATTGCAAGATATTAACTCAGAATTCAAAGAAAAAAGAAAGATCAAATTCGAATCGTGAAAAAGTGTAAGAATTTTGTATCTCGCAATCTTATGAATATCCTATGTAATCGTAGTCTGAAAAGTGTGAATTGTGAGGAATAAACTTTTTTTTATATTTTATTAAATAAATATTTCACATATTGAAATCTTAAAGGGATAGTTCACCCAAAAATGAAAATTCTGTCTACAAGAATACTTTTTGTGCGCAAAGAAAACAAAAATAACGACTTCATTCAACAATTCGTCTCCTCTGCGTCACCCTATAGCGACATTTTGGAGAGTATCACATATGCAAACAACGTATGTGCGCTGATACGTTGTTTACGTAATGTAAACAGCATATCCGCGTATGGTGCTGCTGACACAGAACAGCATACATTGTTTACGTTCTCCAAAATTGGATTGGATGTTCAGTTTAGCGAACAAGTCCGTGCAGGAGAATTAAAGCGAAAGTGATGAAAACGGGTAAGTAAATGAAGGCGGCACAGACAAAAGGCTGTTTTTAGAAGTGACATGATCTTACCCAAGCATTCCAATATGCGAATGTTTTCATAACAACATGAGCCGCTTAAAATGCATAAAGTTATCAACGTTACTGATATTCAAAATGGTAAGCAAGCGCTGCTTTGTTTACGTTTCGTATATCTGCATTTATCTCATATATCTGTGTTTCAGTTTCTCCATTTGAATGACTAATATTTACTATTGATAGCTGCTGATATAGACAGCGAACTCCTCTCACGTATGCACAGAACGCACGTGTTTAGTTTGCAGTCGGCTGAAGTCTGTGCAGTGTGCCCACATGCAGCTTTTTTTGTCCGACACGAGGCGACAACACCGTCGGCTTTCAACGCCGCTAGTTCTTTGAAGTCAGCTTGGTGTGTCCCGGCCTTTATGGGTTTAGAACAACATGAGGGTGAGTAATTAATGACCATTTTAATTTTTGAGTGAACTATCCCTTTAAATACATCTTATATAATTGCAGAAACATTTCTACATTTTAAGAAACTCTGAATTGTAAGGAAAAAAAATCCTGAATTCATTATAAATATATTTGAAAGTCTAATATTTTAATTTTTATAATTTTTTATTTAATATGTTTATTTCATAGGTTTGTGAGTTTAACGGAGATAAAAAGTCGCAATTACTTTTATTATGTGGCAGAAACGAGTTTCCAACATGCATGTCTGATCACAGTTTTAAATATTTTCATAAAACATAATTTGAACTTTTTTTCATTCTTTCATTGTGGACTCTTCCACTTTTGAACGTCTTGCATGATGACAGAGAACAGTATCTAGACGGAACAGCATGTAAATCACGAAATTCTTTAGCAATTAATAAAAGGAAACCTGGAAACCACTTTCGAGATATAAATTTGACGTTGCAAACAACTGAACAAGATCAGACACAGTTGAGGGCTCTGTAATTTCCGTCTCATCACATGATCAACAGAAAGAGGCTTTAATCCTTGTGAAACTAGTTGTTTGTGCACTTACAGGTGTTGACTAGCGACTCACAGAGCTTCCGTGGCCCTACAAGCCTTTATTGTTAGGCCTGGGAGGAAAAGCAAGTCAAAGGATTCACAAGGAAAAATAAAAACAAACTATTCTCTTTGCTTGCAACAATCTCACAAACAACTTCCAGACATTTTGAAAACGTTGTGACAGGAGCATTGCATACTGTATTTGTTAGATTTGCTTCTTTTTCTTTGCAGTTTCTTTGTGGTTTGGATAGAAAAGGCAACAAATGAAGGTGTAGAGACTGCTTACCCCACTGCAGACGACACGGGCCCTCAGAGGATCAGACTGAGCGATTATGAAATGCATTGAAGAGCAGCATGACATCCACGGCTTTAGTCTCAATTCAACAGCTCTCGCATCGCAGTTCGACAAAATATCTGACGTCTATCAACAGTTACTACTTCCCAGAAAACCAAACTCTCCTGAAATTATTCTAAATATATTCAAAGTCTAATTTTAATATGATACTATTTCGTAACGGCTTAACCGTGGGTGTTACGCAACTGTGAGCAGCAGCAGCAGCAAATAAACACGTAAAACAGGAGGTGAAGGTGAGACAGGAAAATAAAACAAACTGTAGATACAGGCATTTAGCTGAATGTAATTACATAAACACATGTAATTTACAAGTGACGCTGCTTTTAAGTAACATTTCTACTGGTGAATTTGACAGGACAGTTAGCCAGGATAGTCTAATGGTGTGTTCACACCAGACGCGAAGTCACTCGCTCTAGATTACTCGCGGGATGTTTTTCGTGTCACTCGCTATCGGCCCTCCAGGACCGAGTTTGGGCACCCCTGGTCTAAAGGATGTCTTTATATTATTAACATTTTACATCAAGTCTTCATTCTAGTAATAACTACAGAACATTTAAAAGTATTGCTATAAGGCAGATAGTAGATGGACAAAAAAAACTTCAGAAAATTAAAAATGTCCCTTGGAAACTAACTCTGATGACTAAAGTACTACAAATGATAAAAGCACATTGAAAAAACTACTAATACTTAAATTAAAATAAACTCAAAATACATACAAATAAAATCTACTTCAAATTATTAAAAAATATTTAAATTATAATAGTATATAAATAACACTGTTGTAGACCCAGAACTTAGGTTTCTGACACACTACATCTGAATATTTTGGCATATACACTGGTGGCCAAAACTATTAAAACACTAGTATTTTCACCAGCTAAAGTCAGTTATTTATATCTTTTGCTGTAGTGTATCAGTAGGAAATATCAGTTTACATTTCCAAACATTAATTTTGCCATTAATTGTAATAATCCAGTGAGATTCTTTTAATTTATTTATATTTATGTTTGCTACGCATATGGGACTTTTTGCCCAAATGTAACCGTAATCGCCCAGAAAAGTAATCTCTCCTAAAGATGTATGATTTGAGAAATCATTTGTGTCTGTGACGTGTCAAAGTTGAATATTTAGTGTTATGAGGCTGAGTTTATGAATTTTAAACATTAGGTGCCATTTTCTTGGATTTGAAGTAATTCTGTGTGACTTTAGCGATACAAAGTGTTAAACACGCACACAAAGATACACTTAAAATGAAAAGAAAAGAGTGCAAGCAAGCAGGAATGAAGAGAGGTGATGGCAGACTCAATCACAAAGCGAATTCATACCTGTAAAATCTTCAGAAAGTCCGTGTGCTGTGGAGGGGCGCCCCCTACTTTCACAAGAGCCGAATGGGCCAATTCACTGTTATTCAAGTCAGCAGTATTCATTATAGCACCAACATCACTGATACTAGCAGACCCACACAGCTTCACTGGCCGCCCATGTCTCAAGAGAACCAGAAAATGTGTCATTTGGCAGTTTATCCCTTTTCTAAACACTGTAGACATGATCTAACACCCTCAGGTGTATTTTGATATTAAAACCACCCGCATGGGCTGAATTTCAGAGCGAGTCGGTGCAGTTGCCCCTGTGCGAGTCCTCCAGAAGGGGGCGCCCAGTACAAGTAGAGAAAAATGGAAAGCTCATACTTACATCCTATCCTTGCAACTTTTTCCAAAGCTGAGAGATTCATCTTGGTTTAGTCACCATATGATCTCTATCATAATGGTGGGGTTTAATGAATAGATTAGCTTTTAGGGAAGTGCACAGAACGTCCATGCATTGTATGCGTGACTACATTTCCCACCCATAAAATGAAGGCCACGCTACAGTTTACACAAGCCACTGATATAAATGCTCAGGACCCAAATGAGGCTTAGTCTTAAACTGATTTCTGCACTATATCGTCAAATTTCAAGCTTAAATGTAATAAAAGTTTTGCTGAGCTAAATGGAATTGACAGGCTAAATAGCATCTACTCATGCTGGTGTGTTGTCAAACTAAACTAGGTGTAAGAGGCTGTTGTGCTCTACCTGTTATATGGAGTAAATTAGCAAGTATTTTACCTTGTGTGTATCACGGAATTTGTTGATCTCTCTGGAAATCAGATCTCTTTTATCATCTTCCATTTCCATGGCACTGAAGTCCTCCTAAAGAAATGGAAACCATGGGTATAATACATATACATATATCAACTCTCCTTAATGAGAAATGGAAACAAACCAAATTTTGCTGAGATTGGACTACGTTTAGGGTGTGCTCAACAAAGTTGAAATTCTTAATATAGTCTTAATGACAATAACAGCACGTAATTAATAATTATACAAAACCATTTGTAAACTGTGAATTATGTTAAAAACGAGAACACAGAACAGTGTTGTTAGTCTTAAAATGTTAAATTACATTGGCGCCGATAGCCTTGTGGACAGTGTGCTGACATGTAGCTCTGTTGCGCCTCAGTTCGAGTCCCAGCTCGTGGACCTAGGAACAAACACTCGTAATGAAGAAGTTAAGAGTGTTCTGCCATTGTCGTGACATGTTGCCAAGTATAGTAACCCATACTCAGAATTTGTGCTCTGCATTTAACCCATCCAAGTGCACACATACAGCAGTGAGTAGTAAACAACTCACACACAAACCTTGAACACACGCCCGGAGCAGTGGGCAGCCATTTGCGCTAGCACCAACTGGATCAGTTGGGGGTTCAGTGCCTTGCTCAAGGGCACCTCAGTCGTGTTATAGAAGGTGGAAGTCACTCCCCCCACCTACAATCCCTGCTGGTACTGAGACTCGAACCCGTGACCTTCAGGTTACAAGTCTGACTCTCTAACATTTAGGCCACAACTGCCCCTCATCTCTGACATCAGAAACAGTCAATATTTTATCAGTGAACAAAAACTCAAAATCAGCTCTTGAAGTACCCGTTGATAAAAAGATACCTTCGTTGAGCACACCCTAAATGACAAATTATCTGAATGGAGTTTTGCATACATTACTAACTTCTAGTGGAGAAACAAATGAGGGGGTGAGAGGTTAACATATCCCCCCCCAAAAAAAGACCCCCCAGTAAGGGCCACCCTAACGTGTACATCAAACTGGCAAAACATTAAAGAACAAAAGGCCAAGATAAACTAAAGCCTACCTCGTCCTTCTTTTCCCTCCTCTTTTTGCGGCGACTCGACTCATCATCCTGAGATTGAGCGTTAAGATCACTTGAATACTCCCGGATCAGGCCGTCAATAGCTCCTTTGACAATTTGGTCCCGCTTCTTAGTTTCTTCATCCAGAACCTCCTCTTCCTCTTCACCAGCACCATCCTCTGCCTTGCCATTCTGCCAGACACACAGATCAAAACTCAGCATCTTTGTGGCAAAATGCATCTGAGATTATCGCAAAATCAGTAGTCAAAAACACCACTGAATTTTTATATAATTTATTTAGTATTATTCATAATATTTAATATTTTTCTTAAGTGAACAGTACGTTCTTATATTAGTAGCAACCTGACATCAAACACTTACTCCATTTTCACTGGTGCTCTTCTTCTTTGCTTTCCACTCATCCAGTTGTGCTTTGGTTTTGGCATCGACTTTGACCAGAAGTTTCTTTTCTCCAAGCTGCAGCTCATGAAGCAGCCGTAGAGATCGTAGAGTAGATTCAGGCTCTTTGTACTCACAGAAACCAAACGCTGTAAGCAAAGAACAAAAAAAGAAGTCTGTGAGGAACCAGTCTGGCATATTCACAACATTCACAGGAAATGCAAATAGTCTTATATGATTTTCAAAATAAAAAAAACTGACATTGCAATATTTTCTTCTTCTGCAATATATTTTGCCATTTGAAAAAATGCAGCAATTTTCACCAGATCATTTGAATAGCTAGCTATATTCAGAAAGAATAAATCATTCTAGAGTTAGTGGGTTGATTTTGGTGGGGAGTGTATATGCATAGAAAAAGAAAAACTTTTAAGTAAAGGCTTTACTTTAAAATATTTTTAAAATCCTTTTCCGGCTGCAAGATTTGGGAAGAACTTGATAAATATTTATACTACTTTGATTTACCTTTTTACAAGAACCAATTCAAGCCTCTTTCAGTAACCATTTCAGTTTTAAAAAAAATATTTCCACTTAAGTTTTCATAAGCCTCATTCTCACCGTTTCTGACCACTTCAATGACTGTAAAATAATAATAATAATTGTCATGATTTTATTTTAATTATTGACTACAACATTGAGATTGTGATTTTATAAAAATATTCAAATAAGAAATATATTGTAATAATACCATACAATAAACACTGTAAAGAAAAAAACTATAAAATTGGTTTTTTTAACTGTAAAATTACAACAATAATATTTGTCTTAATTGATTCATTTTCAAACAGTAAACCATCTAGCTGTTATTTTAATAAGTTGCAGGCAAATAAAAATATGCGCTGCTGATTTCAGCTCAGATCATAAATGAATGAAGCTGTTCTCAGACACTGAAACATTGAATCATGAACTACACATGTAAATACCATGCTTGAGACCGGTGAAGCATTCATTTATTTAATTCAATCACAGCCTGCATGACTTGAAACTCACACTAAGCCTTATCACGATATTGATTTTTAGTGCAACTAACCGGGCTCAGAAGACATCAGTTCAGGGGTTAAAAAATATTTACCTTGGAGTTTCCCAGAGGCACCTTGAACTCGTTTCCAGCTCAATACCAAACCACATTTCTGAAAAACAAGTGGTTATTATTAATATCAATCCAACTAACACTTAACATGAAATGTTATCAAGACCTATTTCACTTTAGAGTAAAACTCAAACTTTTTTCATCTCTGATCTCCACATTGCAGAATGTATAAAGAATGCATAAGTGATTAATTGTGATTATTATTGGTTGAGACTGGAAGGACTGGATCTGATGTGATACTCACAGCCAGCAGCTGTCTGATGAGCATGTCAGATGCTTTCTCAGAGATGTTGCCCACAAACACGGTGGTTGTGGGGCCACTGCTGTCATTGCTGTCTTTTGCCTGAGCAGCGCTTTCTTTCCTGGGAGCAGCAACTTTACTAACCACAGGCATCACCGTGGGCACGAGAACCTGATACGTTACATCACAATTACAGGATTAGTTCACTCCAGAATTAACATTTCCTGATACTTTACTCACCCCCATGTCATCCAAGATGTTCATGTCTGTCTTTCTTCAGTCAAAAAGAAATTAAGGTTTTTGAGGAAAACATTCCAGGATTTTTCTCCATATAGTGGACTTCAATGGGGATCAAAGGGCTGAAGGTCCAAACTGCGATTTCATTGCAGCTTCAAAGGGCTCTACACGATCCCAGCCGAGGGATAAGGGTCTTATCTAGCCAAACGATCGGTCATTCTCTAATAATAAAAAAAAAAACTAAATTTATATACTTTAGTACATACATTTAGTCCACTAAATGGAGAAAAATCCTGGAATGTTTTCCTCAAAAACCTGAAGAAAGACAGACATGAACATCTTGGATGACATGGGGTGAGTAAATTATCAGGAAATTTTAAATAACGAGTGAACTAATCCTTTAATATGTAGCCATGTGACAAAACACTAATGTGATGGTGACTTACAGTGGGTACGGAAAGTATTCAGACCCCCTTAAATTTTGATATGGCTTCCCTATAAAAATCTGATTTAACAAGAAGCATCTCCATAGCATATTTTGCATATTAAGATAAAACATGCCTTGTTTTAACGAGATTGTTACTTAATTCTACAGTTTTAAACACTTTGAATTTACTTCAAAGCAATGGAATCTGAGCAAATGCATAAATAGAGATAGATACTTCAGAACAAAGTAAAACACTTTGGCTGGGTATTGACCCAGATTTCACAAATTGATTTGATTTTGATTCAATTCAATTCAATATCAATTCATTTGGATTCAATTTTTCTTAAGGAAAATAATCTCAACAAATGCTTTAAACTATACGGAGATCCCTGACAGGTTAAAATTAACAACAGAGTACCAATTTCAATATCTGTTTATATTAGATACAATAAAACTGCTGAATGCAGACATTTTATATTTACATTGTTTTATATAAATTTTGTAACAATATAATTAAGTTTCTACTGTATATTCTAACGATATAACTATGTTTCTAATTATGTAGTGCATATATTTAGCAAACATCTCCTCTCTAAAGTTATTTTTTCTAGCTTACTAACAAAATTATGGACATTGAATGACTTTTCTAAAATAAATGTCATGTGACATTGCTTACAAGCTGTTTTATTGACATCTCTCTGTGGTCGAAACATTGATTGAGCGATTAGATGAGACAGGATACATTTCAGTAAGTTGTACTGTTTCTTTCAACACCTTCTGATGTTCATTCATGTTTATTTTGTGCTGTAACTAGTACTAAAGTGTCACACCACATTAAAGTGTCATGAAACCCCCCTGTTTTAGCACTGGTCTTTCACACCTTAGATTTGAAAAAGACTCCAGAAATGGGCATGTAAAGCTGTGGAAAAGTGGGAGTGAAGAGGGGAGAAAACAACCAATAAAACACAGACCTACAAAACACTCATTATACAGACAAATGAATGTTAAAAAATGAGCAGAGAAAAAAATAAACAACAACGGAGGTAGGGGCTACCTTGATATGTTTTAAAAAATATACTAATAATGATAATGAACTCTCAAGAAGTCTTAGCATTAGGGCTGGGTATCGATTCATATATCCCGATTCGATTCGATTTCGATTCGCAAGCTCTCAATTCGATTCGGAAGACTAATGATAAGATTCACGTTAATCAGATCTTATGTGTGTGCTGAAATAAATCCTGGAAAAGATCGATTCGTGGCTTTTGAGAATCGATATCGAATCGATGTCATTTAAAAAAACGATTAATCGAAAAATCTATTTTTTTTGCCCAGCCCTACTTCGCATTAGAGATTACTAACAACTACAAATCAAATATACTTTGATAAATTATTATTTGTCAGCAGTGATATTGGACTATAATACCAGCACTGAAGTCTCTGAACAAATGACACGCATCAGTTTAAAACATAAAAAAAAGCCGTAGTTAATTTTGTTTACTTTTTGGTCTATATCATTGTTTGCTCTGTATCACAATAATCCTCCATGTCATCGCGTTCATGATCAGACGTGTTGCTGTATCAGTGCCCTTATTTGTGCATATTTCATTTGAAGTAGACATGATATGTGCGCATACACTGTGGTGGTTCATGTTTGGAGTAAATGTTGTTACTTATTAAATATTGTTACGGTCATGTTTACAGAGGTGAACTGACAGCGCAGAAGCTCTTTCATGAGATTTTAAATTCTCTGCTGTAATACGACCTCATGCATAATACAGCACTGTGATTGGATCATAAGAGTACATTCTCATGAATAATACTGAGAAAAGCTCAGAAAACTGATGACATAGACGCGTACTCTCCAGCCACTCACCACTCCAAATTAACTAAGATACATCACTCATATTTCATTTGAAGTAGACATGATATGTGCGCATACACAGTGGTGGTTCATGTTTGGAGTAAATGTTACTTATTAAATATTGTTACGGTCATGTTTACAGAGGTGAACTGACAGCGCAGAAGCTCTTTCATGAGATTTTAAATTCTCTGCTGTAATACGACCTCATGCATAATACAGCACTGTGATTGGATCATAAGAGTACATTCTCATGAATAATACTGAGAAAAGCTCAGAAAACTGATGACATAGACGCGTACTCTCCAGCCACTCACCACTCCAAATTAACTAAGATACATCACTTTTCGTGACGTTGGTTCAAATTTGCTTTTTGAACCGGAAGAACAAAATGGCTCCAAAAAAATGAAAGAGAAAAATAAAAACTTTTCCCTTAATAATAGACACGAGTGCTACTGTTGTTTTCACTGGTGTGCAACCTGTACATATCTCAAAAAATGTTTTAGGGTTTCATGACCCTTTAAAGCATGCCAACATTTTTTTTTTTTTTTTTCAAACTGACAGAATTTGAAAGCTGAGACTTTTTCATATCAAAAGTAACAAAGATGATTGTTTATTATATGGGATGTGCGCACAAATAATGTTTAGTGACGTTTTATTCACGCATCAACTGAAAAAAAAAAAAAAAAACAGACTAAAAGAACGATTCTTGGGATTTAAGAATCGATATTGGTTTTTCAGAATGAAAATCAAATAAAATTTGGATATCAATATTTTTAACCCAACCCTATAATATAGCAATGCATACATACATATATTTAGACTGGAAATGACTAAAGTAATTCAAAGAAATTACATTTTTCTATAATTAAATAACATTACCGCAGGGGCTGGGGCCATAATGCCCATGTGGACAGGAATCATTGGGGTTCCTATAAAGGGGAAAAATCAACAACATCAGAAAATAATGTTCACCCTAATTTGAATTTGTCAAAGTTACATTTTATAATAATTTAGGCTCATTTAGCATAGAAACTGTTCACCTAGCAATGCATAAGAGATCTAATGCGGCCCCTTAAAAAACAACTTAACAGACCATAACCTTCCTTGAAAATATTACATTAAGCATGACAACAAATCTGTTATTCGAACTTTGAATACTCAAAGCAAGCAACACCATGCTGTATAATCAAGATGAAACAGTTGACACTTTCATAAAAGCTGACTGAATGCTCTGGATTTCAATGAAAGCTGCCATTATAATCAACATGTAGCCTATGCATTTAGCTGACGCTTTTATCCAAAGCAACTGCCAGTGTGTATTCCATGTAATTCAAACCCATGATCACGCCTTTGCTAACTCTATGATCTAACAGTTGAGCCACATGAACACTAATATGCCTACACAAGGTCTGATAAATCTAGTTTATCTTGATTACCAGGAGGCATTGACGGTGGAAACCCAGCAAACTGTGGTGGAGGGATTCCTGGCGGCAACGTTGGGATGCCTATTTGTGGCCGGTTGAGATGAGGAGGGAAAGACATCTTGGGCAGAACACCCACCTTAGACAGAAGGCAAACACATCATTAACAACTGTAAATAACAGAGGTTTATACATTGTTTAGGCTGCTACAATACACACACTGCTCCGTTTACACAATCAAGATATTCTCTTAAAGGAACACTCCACTATTTTTGAAAATAGGCTAATTTACCAACTCCCCTAAAGTTAAACAGTTGAGTTTTACCGTTTATGGCTAGGAACTATACTCTCATTCCGGCGTAATAATCAAGGAACTTTGCTGCCATACCATGGGTGCAGCAGGCGCAATGATATTACGCAACGCCTGAAAACAGTCCCCAGCACGCTCAATCAGATTCAATGATCTATGCTAAGCTACAGCTAAAAGTGCTACCACCAGACCCGGAGATCGGCTGAATGGATTCGAAAACGGTAAAACTCAACTGTTTAACTCTAGGGGAGATGGAAAATGAGCCTATTTTCAAAAATAGTGGAGTGTTCCTTTAAGTTAGTTCTGCAATTCACCTCATAGTTTACAGTAAGTATCTATTAGAGCCCGCCCGATATATAGTTTAGCCAATATTATCGGCCGATATGAGCCTGTCGCGATATATCGGTATCGGCGAATACGCCGCCGATATGAACATTTTTACAGAACATATAACGCAGATAAAATGCTTGAAATGGTGTAATTACTTAGTTTGACCAGCAAAGCGTGCTCCGTTGTTTGCTACTGGTGACCTGGATGAAACGCTTTAAAGCTTAAGTCTATGGAAAACCACTGAAACTTTGAACGGCCATATCTCCGTAAAGGCGTGGCGAATCCGCATCAAATTCGGGGGATCCCTTCAGCTCGAGGAACCCTCTCGAACGCGAATCGAGTGTACGTCTAGAGGCCCGCTT